TACATTTTAAGATTATTATCAAGAAAATATTTTTTGTTAAAAATAATCGTTCTTTTCATGTAAAATATGAATACAAACTAAAATATAAATTTGCAGCAAATTGATTTATAAAAAAATAAACTTTAAGAACTTTAACTCTTTCAATAATTCAGAGAATTGTTATAAGTAATATTATTTCAATAATATTATAATAGGTTCGATACCTGAAGCTTAGAGCTAAATGCTATCATTTTAGTATTGACGAAAAGAGGCGACAGATGTTGAACAGTTACGCCGAATTTGGAATATTCTGCCCTGAGAGCATCGGAGAAACTCTTCACATACGCTTTCGTAGCGGCATATACAGTCATCAACGGCTGAAATTCAATTGCGGAGGAGACGTTGACAATCGTGCCTTGTCTGCGTTTTTGCATCTGCCCGATAACTAACCGCGTCATTAACGTAGTAGCACCCATTTATATTGATAATGTCCCACAGTTCCTTCTCAAGTATCTCTCCGACGTACTCGGGATACTCGTAAAACTTACCCACATTGTTCACTTAAAACAAAAATCGTTTAATATATCGCATCCATATAGAAACGTCATTTAATGTTGCATAGAGACTAATGTTATAAATTAATTTAGGAATGTATTAATTTAGGTATGTATTAATTTATGTGTTTTTGACTTGTGTATTATCATGCATTATTATCTATTCTCTTTCCATGTGAGAATGACCTCTAATAAATAATAAAGCGGAACAATGTTTTGCGACATCAAGTAACAAATACATTTTAAATGTTAGTCAGATAAAAAGATTTAAGACAAGAATAAAAGAACATAAAAATAATTTTAAATTGCTAATATTTCGTGAACTTTACCATTTATTTTATTAGGACGAGGAGCACATTAATGGCTTTTCGCCTCAATCAAATTTCTTTACAAAGATATTTTAATTTAAAATAATCCTATTTAGTTAGAAAACTAAAAAAAACATTTTTTTACAAAATAAATCGGTTTAAAATCGCAATTTTTTCTTTTTAATGTAAATTACTTCAGTTTTAATTACAGATAGGAATTTGATTTCTTGTACTATTACATCTGTTTCACCTTTATAATTACAAAATAATCTTCGTTAGTATTTTTCATAGATTAAAATTTTTTATTATTTTGACTACATATATAAATTTATTTTTTTTACTTTGACAATTATATCGACCTAAATATTACTAGGACTTAATACTTTTTCATCTGAGATTGAAGAAATGGTTATACATCAAAGTTGAGTACGTCAATGTTTTTTTTAGTAAATTAATAACTTATAAAATAAATCTAGTTACACTAAAAGTTGCTCCCTAATAACACAGGACATCTTGCAAATGCCAGCTAAATGTGATATCCTTACGAAGTTCTGTTAAAGTTTAAGACTAGATTAAGTTAAAAATTAATTTATTTAAAATTAACTAAATTAAGTTAAAAACATTATTAACTTTTAACTTTTTATTTAACTTTTAACTTATATAGTGTGTTTCATTTTAATTGTAAATATTTCAAAAAATATGGAGGATATAAAAAATGTTTCAAAAAGTTGTATAATTTCGAAGGAACTATGATATCATTGACTTGACCTTGGATGGCGTTGTCAAGGTCAAAAAAAGTCACATTAATTTTTTTAAATGGAACTATTCATTTTTTATTACATATTTTTATAGCTTATCTCGAAAGCTTTCCAAAACACAATAATAAAATATTTTTTCTTTAAGCACTTTATGAGACTTGAAAGTCATAGCATGTGCCGTAGTATTAGCATTATCCAAAGTGGATCTTGCCGGTGAAGGCAAAATCTGAAGGATGAATATGATTGGCATGTAAAATTCTACAGTTGCAAGAGAAGCATTTAATTCACGACATTTAATTCACGACTAATTTGACTAATGTGTGGATTCATTATTACCATTCCTAGTACAGTTACGATAATAGTATCATCGTTATTTAATGGTTTTTTTTAGAACGTTTGTGTTTCATCAATTCCATACGCGGTCTAATTGTTAAACAAAATTGCTTTATGATCGGGATGTCGTCTATCCGGATACCTATCTTGATACTGACGAACTGCTTCTCTAGCATTATTAGCAGTATAAAAAATATCAATCATATCAAGTATTTCTGTAATCTGCGGCGAGTAATCTGCCATGTTAATAGTGACACAATTAACGGAAGGAAACAAAATGAGTTTACGCTATCGAAAAAAATTGTAATAAGAGCAATCCAAAGAGCAAAAATTGCCAATCCGAATCGATTTTAAGTAAAAAAACAATCAGTTGTATAGGAGCCTAATAAAAGTGTTTTAGAATATGTAATAGAAGTCTATACAGTCTGAAACAGCGCGTGTGTGATTGCCATGTGTCATTGTTAACTTTCTGCCGGCGGACCCACAGGATCTCACAATAGGTCCTGGGCCGTTTCTAGATCACTATGTATTATTAGTGCGTATATGTATATACGTATATATGTATATGTGTGTGAGGTATCTGATGGTAGGAGAAGTACGTTACTAGACTTGGGGTTCGAGGAAGGGGATTTGATGACTAAATGAGAGGACCGAAGAAAATGAGGGTCGACATTATTGGGCGAGAGGACCGCGGGAAGGGGTAGCATTACTAGAGCCCATGATAGATGGAGACAGAGTCCGCCATGTTATTCTATTTCTTTCACTCATTGTAAAGTATGCAGTTCTCTTCCAACTCGTTGCGACTCTATACTTACTCATGTTCTCTCGTTTCCTCTCGCAGTCTCATATCATATTATTCGTGCTCTCTCTTCTTCCCCCATTACATTCTCCCCTTCGTTGTCTTTTCTTCTCGATTTTATTATTAAATAGATATTATTAAAATGAATATTTATTCAACGATTTTAAAATGATATGACCTAGTGTCTAAATGTAATAATTTTTAGTTATGAGCGCCTTATCAACTAATTTAATATACGAAGTATAACGGATTGGTATAAAGACAAAGAAATAAATAATTTTAAATATAGAATAATGAAACAATTTTAATATTTATTTTTTAATATATAATAATAATACATTTTTTTATTTTACTCGTGTAACGTATGGTATATAATTTGATTCAAAGCATATGCTACCAATTCTATAAGGAAACTTTTATCACAAATATTATGCAACAAATTTACAGCATCGCGTTTGTTAGTAACAAACACATTCTTAACATAAATGAAATAAAATGTTTAAATTTCTCATTCGTACACATTCTGAGATAGTCCTAAATATACATACTCAACACAATGTTCGAGATCAAGTATAAAAAACAAGATTGATAGTATTAGGTGTACAACTTTGCTTCCGCCGTTTTTTTTCCGAAATTCAAGGCTTTATTGTAAAAAACTGGTTATACATTTATGATTCAAAGTATTGTCCATCGCTGGCCACTACTTTCTCCCATCTTTCGGGTAGCGTACGAATCCCGCGTCGAAAAAACTGGTCATCTTTTAAGGCTATCCACGAATCGATCCAATTTTTTACTTCTTCATAAGACCGGAAATGCTGGTCAGCCAGGCCGTGTGCCATTGATCGAAACAAGTGATAGTCAGAGGGAGCAACGTCTGCAGAATACGGCGGGTGGGGTAGGACTTCCCATTTCAACGTTTCCAAGTATGTCACTTTCGCAACATGGACATTGTCGAGCATTGTCATGCTGCAAAATCACTTTATCGTGTCTCTCGTTGTATTGTGGCCGTTTGTCTTTCAATGCTCGGCTCAAACGCATCAATTGCGTTCGATACCGATCTGTGATTGTTTCAGTCGGTTTTAACAGTTCATAATACACTACGCCGAGCTGGTCCCACCAAATACAGAGCATGATCTTGGACGTCAAAATCACCGTTCTTGAAGCGTTGAAACCACTCACGACACGTTCTTTCACTAATAGTGGCCTCACCATAAGTATTTGAGAGCATTCGATGAGCCTCAGCCGCAGATTTCTTCATATTGAAGCAAAAAATTAAAACTTCCCGCAAATGACGAGAATTTGGATCGTAAACTGACATTTCCAATAGAGAATAATTTTATGATGCAGACACAAATCGACTAATGTTTCTATGGGGTTATGTTGACAGATGCCCAAGTTTATTGTATGACGTCTATGATCTATTTCTTTCGACCACCACTTACCGCTAAGCCATTTATAGGAAAACGGCGGAAGCAAAGTTATACACCTAATATTATTATTGTGTCAACTTCTATTTACTGCGCAAATTTCATAAGATCTTTGTTCATTATTACATTAGCTATTTCCTACTCAATATTGACCAAAAGAGTCTCGAAAGATTGCTTGATCAAGGAAAATGCGTTTCTTTTCTGCGTTAAAAGCCTCTTTTATCAACTCCAATTAACTATGGTTAATTCAATCACCATGATTGCCATCATGAAAACTAAGCATAGAAAAGGAAAAGAGAGGAAACGTTTCTGATTAAACTATTATACTTCATATGCATAGTATTTTATGAAACATTGAAGTGCGTTGGCACTTCTGCGAGTTAATTGTCGATTAATTTAACCAGAAGTTGGTGAAAAAAACCCTAAGTGTTACTGTTGCTTGATCTCTTGTGAATATTTTGATTATGTATCGATTTGGATATGTATTGATCCAGAGATTTCGAAGTCAACCTGACTTATAAATAGAAAACTGAACTTGTTAGTCAGAAAGCCTTATTGATCGATGAGATCGCCTTCAAAGTCAATGATGGAAGTGAAAATGCCTTGATTAAGGAAATTTGTTTTCAAAGTTAGGCAAAGTTTGGCTCTTGGAATAAGGAAATTCGACTTACAAATCGAAATTTAGATAAAAACCATCATTGAAAGTCATTAAATCAGCCATCATTATGAGAACTATTCTGTCCACCATGATATATTAAAACACTTTCCAAAATTATAAATTATACTGTATCTGGAATGATTAAAAATTGAAAAAAATATCTATTTCACGCTATTTCTAACGTAGATAAAACTATTTTTATTGTACTAAGTGTTAAATATATTAATGTTAAATAATTAATAATTAATTAATAATTGTTTAAGTTATTTATTTTCGAAGACGCGTTAATTTTAGTGAAGTAAAATACAAATCTGTACAGAAAATTTTTTTTCGCACTTATATTTCTGCAATATTCAACTTCAGAACCAACGTGAAGATGGGACTCTGTTAATATTTTATTTCGAACTTCTATGACTTGGAACCTTATCAAGCATATTATGGCTGTAACATAATTATCTGTTTAGGTAGAATTAATATGGAAATGTGTGTGCAGCGCTGCCATCTCTAAACATTTCAATGAGCTGAATTGCCAAAAGAAAAGAGGGCACAAGTTAGTCAGAATTAGGTCAAAATTATCGATATTCAACCTTCTGTTTTATTTGATTAAATGCGATATATATGCGATTATAATTTATAGGGCGAAGTGCCTTGCATTACCTGATTTTGACTGTAAAATGACTTCAAACTTTTTCCTCTATGTCTAATCGTCATTCGACGTCGATT